TGATGGCCGTTTAAAAAACATCAGGCCAAGCAGAGAAAAATAAAAGAGTTTAAATGGGAAGAACTAGACACATTACGGCTCGTTTTATGTGAACCCTTTCTGGTCCCAGCGGCCCTCGTCTACCAGCTACTGTCACTCTTTCAGAAAACTCGAAATAGTGAAACCCAGAGAGCTGTGGATGATTAACTTTTCATAAAGAAAGCATATGAAGTGATTGGCAGGAGACCAAGAACCTCTCTGGTGATTCAGAACTTTGCGTTTAATACTCCAGCGTCTGGCAGGAGTCTGAGGCCGACAGGAATTCACCAACCTTAAAAATAGTCCAGCGATGACGGCTCATCAACCAGTCTATCGTTTTCCTAAAATGTACAAGCAGGCGTACAGCGCTTGCCTTTTTTGGGGGGGATTCTCATTCTCCAACCTTCAAGGGACTTTTGAGAAATGTAATTACTGATAAAGTCGAATTGCTTTCAGGTGTAAATACAGCCAGTGTGATTGCAACGAGTCCGATGTATATTTAAAAGTCAAACTCAACACCCAAGGATGGCAGCAGCAGCGGCAGCAGCTTCTCCCCGCTATCGTGGACTCAACCCGGTCTGACGACTGAGCAAGTGATGTGGATGAATGTGCTGGAATAACAAGATGGCTGGGTGAGCTCCCCTCGGGGGGGCACTCCACAGCTTGGTCAGAAGCCAAGGAGAACTGTGAGCCGGAGTGGAGGAATCCAACCTCAACACAGGAATTTGCATGACTTTGCAGAGCGATGTAGACCGACACATTACCCACCAAGTGGACCGAGGGTCCTCTTTCAGAGCCTCGCAACTATTGACTAGATCCTTTGTCACGACGGAAGAAAGCTGTGAATCTTTTCTTGACATTTAGTCCAGAATGTTCTCTATTCCTCTTAAATAATCTGCTTACATTTGAGAGTGAAAGACAAAGTAAATGTGCACATTGTGGACGTTGATTACGGTCCGAGTGGCGTGCTTTGGTTTTTTTAAATTAATTTCCAAAGAACAGTCTTAACCCCGTCGTCCTAGACATGCACCGCTGTCTGGAAGTGTTTCCAGCGAGCGAGTGCCCCATATGGGGCGGACATGCTGCAGTGGGCCGGAGACGTGTAAACCCGGCACTTCCAAAACATACACAACCCCCGCTGCCAAGAACTGGATTATCTCAAGCAGCTTTTTCTGCACAACAGCAGCGGCGAATGATTTCTTGATCTCTGCAACCTCTCCCCGAGAACGCGGCGGGTTGTGACCGATGACAAGAGACAGGTGCAGCCAATTATTAAGAGAGTGACGCAGCGTCGGGGGGGTACGGCCACTTTGGTCGGGATAATTAGAGTCTGATGTCCCGTTTGAGTTACACTCTCCACACACAGCTAGAGGGCCGCTGTCTTTAAGACGAACCAAGTCCAGAAACAGTACGACGGAGAACAGCGATGAGTCGAAGCATCAATGAGTTTAGTTTGATCATCAAATCGAGCTAAGAAACTCTAGGATTTGTACTATTTTCTGAGATTTAACACCAAATGTTGAGGAAATTGGCAGATTAATTGAAGTAATCACTAGTTATTGAAGTTTTGTGATTATTTCGTACACTCACACACACAAACCTTTAGTCACAGTAATTCAGCTATTATTACTTTAATGACATACTGTGAACCGACATCTTGATTTAAGGGCTCTATAAAGTTCTGTATTATTAAAGCATGCTGCCACACACCGTCTACCCTCTGTGTGATAACGAGTGATAATAAAAGTACCAGGATGTGCAGTCATCTTCAGCGTGAGCTGCAGCTGAGTTAGCCGGGCCTCACACTGCGTCCCTCAGCATATGGAAGTGTTTTGCCTCCCCAGTCATGCCCCGCCGGGCTCAACAAAAGCGGCGACTACCACATACGCTGCTTTTAGGGACTTCATTCAGCGTAAAGTGTCCTTTATAAAGCAGCCCCGTCCTTTAAAAGAGGCCTACTTCAAACACAGACTCGATCAATAGCAACATAAAAGAAGTGTCAGACTGGGAGCATGAAGGGGTGTAACCAGTAACACCAACAGCACCAAACATCAGCACGTTGAGACAAACTCCGCATGAATAGGATCCGTGTTGATCGACCGTGACTCATCGTTTAACTCGGTGCAGGTACGACGTTATTTGGCAGCTCTCCCCTTGAATGTGAACAAGTCCGAGCGTTTTTTTTTGCAATTCTCGAACACTGCAGTGGAATATCATCTGGCTGCAGAGACGCAAGGGAGTTCAGGGAGACTCTTTAAAAATCAAGGTTGTCTCAGACAAAAGATACAATCAGGGTTGTAGATGTTCCCCCTAAATGAGGCCCGAGTGTGCTGCAGACACCAGTCCTCCACACACACACACACACACACACACAGTACATTAAACGCAAACAACCAAAGTCCTGCATCAGTAAACTCAGAAACTTGAGAAAAAGCGTCTGCTTTTAACAAACCGCCTCTCTTCTTTGAGTAGATGGCGGCTGGTGTTCCTCTGGTTGCAGAGCAGCTCACAGCTAGCGGTGGGAGAGCGGAGCTCGCCCTGCAACAATGCCCCCTTTGTCCTGGACCAACACTGTACCTACCAGCCTGCTCTTTGATCCCCTGCCAAGACAAACTACTGTGTTGGGTTACAGTTCTTGTAGCAAAACAATCTGCGCTTGTGTTTAATATACTTCAGTCTGCCTGCATTGGGCTGGCTGTCAGTCACACACACACACACAAATGACTGCGCTCCTTATCCCATTAGCGCTAATGAGAGCAGGGTATGTTGATGGCTACCTGTTAGGAGGACATGGAGGAGAGATAATCAGCATCAAAAGAGAGATGAAAGATAAATCTCTCGTTCTCGCACTAACGTCGTCTCACACACCATCGCCTTCATTTCACTCACACCGCCGGCCTCACACAGACGCACTGTTTGCTTCTACATCAGCAAGTCATTTGGTTGGAGCGCCAACATTCCTGTTTCAAATGGCAGCTCCACTGATGCCGGTTGTTGGAGTTTGATGTATCGTAATAGCACCATCAACTATACACACTCAGGGCCATAAGTATTTGGACTATGACACAATTTTTCTAATTTTGCTGATTTACACAACTCCAATGGATTTGAAAGTAATCAGTCAATATGTGGTTGAAGTGTAGACTTCAGCAACCCCTTTCACCAAGCACCCTGTCTCTACTGGATCTTCTGGAAGATGAGTCATCAGTCAGCGCTGGTCTCCCTCCCACCACACCGATCGACACCTCAGAAGAATGGCCACCATGGGACACTTCCTCACTGCAATCTCAATCAGTACAGTCAGCCGAAGCTCAACAGCCACCACCTAAAAAGACCCTGAAATCTGCCTCCGAGATCAACAAAGAACTTGCTTTTCTTGTTGATCTTGGGATAAAGATTGGAGACCCCATGACCTCGGCCACCATGACCCAGCAGGAGTTCGCACGCCTCAAATTAGACCTAACGCACAGAGAGGCTAAAGCACTACAATGTCTGAGAAGCAAATACAAGAAACGGCATTCCAGCAGAAAACACCACCTCAGTATCTGAGCTCAACTAAAACAATACAAACTACAACCGGCTGAGGTGACCAGCACCGTGAATAGCTACACCCGCCAACTGCACATCGAAAGGCAGCACCTTGCAGCCTGTCGGCGACTGTGCAGCATCGCAGGTATTAAACCAGAATCCCCAATCGGCCCCGGCACCGAAACAGAGACTCGGTATACATGCCTCTGTCAGGATCTCACTTTTAACTCTGATGAAACCAGGAACCACGTTGTGTATTTGATCCCTGATTATACTGTGTAACCACATGACTTATATGATTGACTGCATGTAATCATGATGCTTGCTATTACCTGAGGCCACAAGGCCAGAAAAACATCATCCTGCGAGTCCTGAGATCATCAGGACTCCAACAGGTATTAAGTATAGAATAAGAACAGAGTTGGGGATCAGTAGTTTAGACTTCATCAACTGGCCCGGTCTCAACTTATTTTCCACGACACGGTCCAGAGAGCTACAACTAAGATTAGTGTGTGTTTTATGTGTGTGTAGAAACACAGCTGGAAGGTAATGTGGATGTCAATGACACCGGGACAGGAGAGAGAGCACCATATTTATGTAAATATCAATACTTCTAAAATGAAAGTGCTGCAATTAAGACTATTGTTTTCAGGGACCAAGTAGGAGAATCTTGATACGTTTTAAAAGGAGCATCGATGTTCGGAGCGCCTCGGTAGCCGATTGGTTACAACGTACACCACGTAACCTTAACGTCCCGGGTTCGATTCCTGCCTTTGTTGCGCGTCATACTCCGTCTCTTTCCCCCAATTTACAGTCTGATTCTACGCTCTCAGCTGTCTGATAAAAGCGAACAATAAACCCCAAAAAAATCTTTAAGCTGTGGTTTAACACATGAAGTCTGGTTTACTCATCACACAGAGTGCTACTCAGCCCGTGACAACAGTTACAAACTGGAGGTGTGAGGTTTGAACGAACTAGGCGTCTAATTAAAGATGCAATTGAGTTGCATTATGGGAAATGTAGGATCCGGTGTTTCTGGAGCTTGATGTTGAGCTGAAACCATTAGTTGATCCACAGACTGGAAACTATTTTGTTAAATGATTAATCTTTGTCTTTTTCTTCTATTTCATTGACTAAATGATTCATCAATTACTATTAAATATCAACAATAACCTTTAGCTCGTTATCTTAGTGTTGTAAACACATATTTAAAGCTCAGGTCCCATAAAGTTTGGATCTGGCTGTATTCATTAAGCCTGTAGTGGTTCATCACTCGTCCTCTGTTTTATACAGCTCAACAGCTCCACCTGCAGGTTGTTACGCGTTATTACAAGCAGAACAACGACTTCCTGATAACTGCTGAAGACAGTAATCCTGCAGACCGTTTATGAATCTAAGCTGCCGTCTGTTTGTGTTTCTACTCGAGGTCAGAGGTCAGAGACTCGCCGTCGTACCTGCGGCTGCTCTTCTTCTCTTGCTGCTCCTCCTCCGGCATGTTCTCTGCCTCTCTGTATTTCTTCAGCTTGTTACTGATGAGCTCCCTCCTCTTCGCTCTCTCATCAGAGTCGTACTCTTCGTCTGCATCCGCGTCGTCTTCAACGTCGCCGTCGGCCGCATCGTCTGTCTGGAGGAAACAACGCGGAGACATTTACAATCAGAGGAAAGACACTCGGAGGAACTTTGTTTTGGAGGAAACTTTAGTGTCCGACTCACCTCGGCTGTGTCTCCTGGTGTCTTCTTCTTCTTCTTCCTGGGAGAGGAACAAGGATTATGAGTGGAGGAGAAAGCGCTTATTGTGTAGTTATTGATAAATCAGTAACTGTACATACTTGACTGCTGGAACAGAGCTCAGCCTGGGATCATCTTTCAGGAGGTCGTGGCTGCTTTTGCTTTTTCCCTTCAGCGTCTGAAGAAACACAAACAATGGTAAGAGACTCATTTAATTTTTTCATTTCAATGCAGCACCAACTTCTGAAACTTCTGTTTCATTTCAATAGAAAATCATTTAAAATCAGCAATATTGCAAATATCAGAGTCCAACTACCACACAGGTTTTGTAAAGCACAGAGTTAAGATTTAAACAACTTTTTTAGATGTTTCATGTTGTAAAGATGTAAATCAGATATGCGTCTGTCCTCTGTTGTCTTGTGACCGACCTCTTGAAAACATATTTGATTAATGTCACCGCTGTGCTTCAGTACCTGGCTCACTTGATTCACCATCTCCTCCTCCTCTTCAGCTTCTTCTCCAAAAGATAACAGACTGAAGTTCCTGCAAACATCAACACACTGTTGGCACCGAAGCATCGAGAACAACAACACAACTTATCAATCAAAGATGAGTTCCAGCTCGTGAACCCGTTGACGCTGACGGTTATATGAAGCAACAGAAGAAGAAGATAAAAGATCATAATATCTACTTAGATCTGATTACATTGATAACTGCAAATCTAACTGTACAACATTTTAAAGTCACATTATAGTCCATCGATTGAATCAATGAATCGATGAAAGTAAAATAAACAACAGTCAGAGAGAAGAGATCTGATCTCTCACTTTGTGGCCTTTGACTGAGACTTCTTTCCCTCCTCTTTATCCTTCTCCTTCTTGCCCTTCCTTGTTTCACGAGGTATGATGTCATCAAACGGAGAGTGAAGCACCTGGAAGAGACAACAGGTTTTTGCACTCATTACTAAACTGTTGTCAAGCCAGTAAAAAAAAGTAATAGTAGAAGAAGAAGATACCTCTGCAATTTTGATCTTGTGGGGATTCAAAGGCCTTTCGTCGTTGTCACATTCAACTTCTGCCAGTCTGAGCATGTTGTAGACTGTGTCTCCTGTGACCTGCAGTGAGCATTGTGGGAAAAACCCAACTCTGATTACTCGGTAACAGTAACCATTACACTGATCTGGGTTCATGCATGTGGGAGGCTTTTAAGGTCTTTTATCAGATATCTGAGATGGAGATATGAATGTAAATTACTGGAGTTCTTCGGACTCACCTTTCCGAATATGGTGTGTTTGTTGTTGAGCTCGTCTGCGCGTCCCAAGGTGAAGAAAAACTGACTGCCGTTATCATGAGGGCCAGCGTTAGCCATTGCAACCAAACCTCTCCGGTTGAAGCGCAGTCTGGAGTGAAATTCATCCTGAAAGTTTAAAAAAGAAATGGGTGAGTTAATATCAACGTCGGCTACATTCTCTAAATGTTTGATGGTGCATACAGGTTAGCATGTTAACGTGTCCTCACAATGATTCACACTCGTGATGCTCTTAGTGTTCACAGAATAATCAAGAAGCAGTCTGACCTTAAATGGACGACCATAGATGGACTCTCCACCTGTTCCTGTTCCCGTGGGATCTCCTCCCTGAACAATGAACTCACGCACCACTCGGTGAAACATGGTGCCATCGTAGTAACCTAGAGGACAGAGAAATATACGGTAACATTTTTACTGTACATTTATGGACAAACGATGTAATTTGATAGAAAATACAAGGCAAACAGGCACTGCTTCAAGTGTTTGATAATAAATCAGTGATACATTTATATTTTATTGGGTTTAAATTGAACTTTTCATTGATTTGTATTACTCCTATAATTACTTTCAAATTGCAGAGTTCATTCCAGGAATCGTATGAACCTAAATCTTAAAGCATTGATGTCAAAAGTGATATTTCCTCCATGTTACATGTGGTGAGATTAATAGATAATCAAACCAGGGATGTGATCAGCTACAGGATTGGGCTCATGTGGCCTCAGACAATTCTGGGTAACCAAACTGAAGGGATTGTTTTTGGGTGACTGATGTTCTGGACTTCATCTTGTTTGATTTTAGGAGCTCTGCAGAGTCTTTTAACTGGCTCTGAATTCTTACCTTCCATGGACAACTGCACAAAGTTCCTGCATGCTTTAGGAGCCTCCTTGGACCACAACTCAATGTCAATGTCTCCTGCTGAGGTCTTCAACAGCACCTAAGAAAAGAGCACAAAATGGGGACATTTAAATAAGGAATTATAACAACATTTACACATTTATATCGCGAGTAAAATGCTATACGGCTCTGACACTTCATCTGACACTAATAACGCCTTCAATCGTCGATGATCAACGTTACAAAGTCTTAAAGTAAAGTATAAAGTGAAGTTTGTGGTTCAAAATGCACATAAAAGGATCAAATTTAAGTTAAGATAGCCAAAAGTCGCGCTCACCTTTCCATTTGACGGTGGCTCTTGGATGTAAATGTTACTCATTCTGATGCCGAGGTTTTGTCGTTAAAGCAAGGAAATAGTATTTAACACCGCCTGATCCTTTAAAATACAACAAACCGTTATATAAACCGATAGATTATGTTTCTATCACTCGCTTTCTTTAGTAACCAATATTATGCTTCTTAACGAGAGCCATATCGGCCATACATGTGAGCTTGTTGTTTACTTGCGAGTGCGTGGGGGGATCATATATATATATGTATTGTTTATTTCTTTATTTCTTCGTAAATTTACATTTTAATCAGTAAATTAGTTTTTATATCACAGATAAAATGAACAATAAAGTCACGTGAATCTAAATCTGAAAATGTACTAGTGACAGAACGATCCCAAGCATAGTTATCGACACCCCTCGTAATGTTGACTTTTGGTTTGACCCAAGTGTTTCACGACAACACACCCTCGGAAACATATGAGTCCTTTTGTTCCACTGCAGTTGAAATACTTCAAGTTCAACAGCTAAATCCTGATACAGATGTGATATAAAAATACGTATTACTGTTGTTGTTGTTGTTGCTGGAACAACACTAATTTATGTTGGGACCGGTAGAAATACGTGGTGGACGTTGCTGTGTTTATTGCGCGTAAACGTCCCAATTTTATTTCTTAATAAAAATAAAAAAAGAATAATATATATTTTTTCAACATAAATAGTTAACCTAATTCATTTAATATTTTGCTGGTTTTAATATAGTTTGCCTGAAAACCAGTTAGAAATAATTCGAGACTGCGAACGAAACGGAGGTACCGTAATCCAGGAGGGACCACACTGGAGATTGGCAGCAATGGCGGCGGCTGAAAACAATGTGGAACTTAAGCGAAAAGCCGAAGACGACCAGGATGGAGAAGAGAAAGGAGAAGACGACGAGTGGGTCGGACCCATGCTAAACGAAGCTACCACGACTAAGAAAAGAAAAGGTTGGTCTCCGGTAGTTAGATACATCCACACATGTTTGGTTCATACCTGCTAAGCAATGCTAACCATGCTAACCAAACTCCCGCTAACTGTTGTGTGTTTGTGTTTTGTTATTCTCCTCAGTACTCGAGTATGAGCGTGTTTATCTGGAAAACCTCCCCTCAGCTCTGATGTATGAACGGAGCTACATGCACAGAGACGTTATCACACAGATAGTTTGTTCCAAGTAAGTTGTTTTCACAATAAACCTCACCATAGAGCTCTATGGTGTCACAATAAACCTCACCATATGGGACAACTTTATGATGACTACATCTAAACATATTTAAGCAAGTTTGCATTTTATTTATTTGACGTTATTTCAATGTTTTTCTCTTCTCAGGACAGACTTCATTATCACGGCCAGCCAGGATGGCCACGTCAAGTTTTGGAAGAAGAGGGAAGACGAGGGGATAGAGTTTGTCAAACACTTTCGTAGCCATCTCGGTAAGCATTCAGTTTATATTACTGGCTCTCCTGCAGTGCGTTTCAGTGTTTGCTCTTTGCATTGTATCCTCAAATATAACGGTGAGTACTGACTTTGTGTTTTTGGTGTTTCCTGCAGGTGTGATAGAAAGCATTGCAGTCAGCGCTGAAGGAGCTCTTCTCTGTTCTGTCGGCGACGATCAGGCCATGAAAGTATTTGACGTCGTCAACTTTGACATGATCAACATGCTGAAGTTGGGGTGAGTTGTTATTACAGAGTTATTGTATTTCATGTGAACACATAAAGGACAGAATGTTGACTAATGTAACATAATTTTTCTCTCCTCTGTGTAGCTTTCATCCGGGCCAGTCTGAGTGGATCTACAATCCCGGAGATGCCATTTGCGTGGTGGCGTGCTCGGAAAAATCCACGGGGAAGATCTTCGTCTACGACGGACGGGGAGGCAACGAGCCGCTCCACGTCTTCGACAAGATGCACTCCTCGCCGCTGGCCCAAATCCGCCTGAACCCCAAATTTAGAGTCATCGTCTCTGCCGACAAAGCCGGGATGCTGGAATACTGGACCGGCCTCCGGAATGAATTCAGGTTCCCCAAGTATGTGCAGTGGGAATACAAAACGGGCACGGACTTGTATGAATTTGCGAAACACAAAACGTATCCCACCAGCCTCACCTTTTCTACTGACGGGAAGAAGATGGCCACCATTGCCTCGGACAGGAAAGTCCGGATCTTCCGCTTCCTCACCGGGAAACTGATGAGAGTGTTCGACGAGTCGTTAACTGTGAGTTCACGACTCGTAAATAACTTCACATAACTATCGATGTAACATTTATCAATGATGTTCATGATGCTAATCACAGCTGCTTCGTCCTTCCAGATGTTCACAGAGTTGCAGCAGATGAGGCAGCAGCTGCCCGACATGGAGTTCGGGAGGCGGATGGCTGTGGAGAGAGAGCTGGAGAAGGTGGACGGCATCCGACTCACCAACATCATCTTTGACGAGACCGGACACTTCGTGCTCTACGGGACGATGCTGGGCATCAAAGTCATCAACGTGGAAACCAACAGGTACAACCTCAATATCACAGTTCTTCAAGTTCATCCACAATCGTGGTTTAATTGTGCCGCCCTACCTTAAAGACTGTGATCCGTCTGTCCCACTACCTGGATGTGAAGTCTCTAGTTGTGGTCAAATACCAGATAAATGTTCCCCAGGTGTGTGCGGATCCTCGGGAAGCTGGAGAACATCCGTGTGGTGCAGCTCGGTCTGTTCCAGGGCATCGCTAAGGCCAGCAACGTGGCTCCCACGGTGGAGATGAAGGCCTCCGACAACCCCGCCTTGGACAACTTGGAACAGGACCCCACCATCTTCTGCACCGCGTTTAAGAAGAACCGCTTCTACATGGTGAGAGAACACGCCGTTCACGTTTCAGATGTCTACTAGGATAAAATGGGAGGAAGGCGGTTATTCCAGTTAGTTCTACTCCTCTCCGTCTTGATTATCATTGTTTTCTTTCTTTCCTAACGTAAGTTCTCAAAGAGAGAACCCGAGGACACAAAGAGCGCCGACTCGGACAGAGACATCTTCAACGAGAAGCCCTCGAAGGAGGAGGTGATGGCCGCCACGCAGGCTGAGGGCCCCAAGAGAGTGTCTGACAGCGCCATCATCCACACCACCATGGGAGACATCCACATCAAGCTCTTCCCCGTAGAGTACGTTCCGGAGGACATTGTGTCTTTGTTCAGAAGTCTCCTCACACTTTATTAGATACGAACACTGCTTTGCTCTTTGCTTTTATAGATGCCCCAAAACTGTGGAGAACTTCTGTGTTCACAGCAGGAACGGCTACTTCAACGGCCACATATTCCACCGCGTGATCAAGGTCTGCTTCTCTTTGACTCGTCCACCGATCTGACTCCGCTCTCAGCCGGGTCTAACCCTCCGTCTTTGTCGTTGTGCAGGGCTTTATGATCCAGACGGGAGACCCCACGGGCACGGGCATGGGGGGGGAGAGCATCTGGGGGGGAGAGTTCGAAGACGAGTTCCACGCCACGCTGAGGCACGACCGCCCGTACACGCTCAGCATGGCCAACGGAGGCCCCGGCACCAACGGATCACAGTTCTTCGTCACCGTCGTACCGACTGTAAGTCCTTCATGGTCTCCGGTTCAGAGGAGAGACACGAGGCCTCATTCACACACTTAAAATGTGAAAAGTTTTACACACAAATCATCAATATTTCAGTTTGTTCTTTCTCTGCGAACAGATTTAGAACGGCCTCAGAACATGTTTAACAACATCTTCAGAATCAGAATCAGAATCAAAACCGTTTATTGCCAATGTATGTAACATACAAGGAATTTGTCATGGCAGGTGGTGCATTGAACATTGAACAATAATCAACAGTGCAAGAAATAGAAACGTATTAAAATTTACAATAGAATTTAGAACAATAGAATTTAAAAGAAAAGAATTAAAACTATTTTACCTAAAGCAATAGTTTGGGAATTTTGCTTATTTGCTTTCTGGCTGAGAGTTCAATGAGAAGATTGAGAGACTCTCATGTCAGTACTGTAAATATGAAGCTACCGCTAGCTTAGCATAAAGTATATAAACTAGGATACGGCTGGCCGGGTTCTGTCTTAAAGTCAAAAATAATCAGCCTGTAAAGCCCAGTATCCTCTCAGAGGGTTAAAGCACTATGAAACTCTGTGAATGAGCCACTTTTAAGATGCTTTTAACCGCTTACCGTATTAACATCTAGCCACCTTACATACTGATAATGAGAATGCAGTTTTTTGTTATTTTCATCACATTTTTGGTCTTAAATGGAGAGGGCCTGGTGACCCCCGTAAAGTTTTGGCAATCCCTGGTGAGCAAATGAGGAATTAATTGTTTGAAGCTGACTTATCATTTCTCGGTGTTGGAAGTTGTTTAAATAGATCTTGACATTCTGTTGCCTCACTGATAAATGATTTCATTGATGAGGACCTGAGGAAGAACTCTCATGCTCACAACAGTCATTAACTAACGGCTTCAGCTGAGTTTAAAATCCATCAGCGAAGCAGCCTGAAAGAGAAAATGTTATTTTGTTTACCAAATATACATGAAGCTCCTGTGATGTGACGTTTAACAGACGGTGTCATTAATAACTCCTCGCGTTTCGTCTCTCAGCCGTGGCTCGACAACAAGCACACGGTGTTTGGAAGGTGCACTAAAGGCATGGAGGCGGTCCAGAGGATCTCCAACCTCAAAGTGAACCCCAAGACCGACAAACCGTACGAAGACATCAGCATCATCAACATCACCGTGAAGTGATCGTACGTCTTCTTCATGTCCTGTACAGTGATCCTTTTTTTACCAGAATGAGTTATTAAAGAATGTTTGTGGAGCGAGACTCCAGTCAGAGTTATTTGGAGTTTGATAATAATCTAACAAACTGTGAAGAAGAAGCAGCAGCAGCCAGACAGATCAAGTCAGTTAGTTTATTTTACAGCAACAACATTATGAATAATTTACAAAAGCCGTTTAAAGTCCACTGGTAACAAAGGGTTTGATGCGCGTTGTGCTTCTACGTCTCAAAAAAACAAATGTTTTCACAAACTATGTGGAAAGGCTTTTCACGCGTGCATTTTATTAGTATTTTTATACATAGATACGTGTAGTAAACATTACATAGCAATGAATACAGATGAAGTCAAATAATGGGTCCTTAATAACGAGACGAGTGTCAGTGGTCAGGCTGAAAGTTTCACATTACATCATTACTGAAGGCTGTTGATTAAAGGTGTTCCATCTCCTGAACACAAACAAACAGGACATGAATTTGATTATTATATTTGCGGAGAGATTAATCCTCAGTCTAAGAAACAGCAGGTAGTTCATTTGCTCCCAAATAAAAGTGTGTAGTGAGGAAGCAGACGAGTGCATCAGAGGCTCCACAAGAAAACGGAGGCAGAATCGGTGCATTATAAAAAAAAAAAGTAACGTTCCCGCTCATAAATAAGGTTTGCTCTGTAACAGAAAACTCTACCGGTGCGCCATTTCAAGACCAGCTGTGGCATTAAATAGGTTCACACAAACATAACTTAAGAGCCGGTGAAACAGCGACTGCTCACATTAGATGAAGGCGAAGTGTGAACGTTCGCCCGTCAGTTCTCTGTCCCGTCTAAACACACTGAACACAGCTTGAAGGAGGACGTTTCTCAGGATTATGATGTGTTCGAGTATACTGAACCAACAGAAGGTACGTAAATGATACTAACACTACACACTACTCTGCTTTTAGTTAGGATTACCGTCACACATGGAGGTGGTTATGATGAATACCGTGAGATAGGAAGTACAGAGGGAGCGTTGTGATCGCTTTACTGTCGGCTAGCTATAGATGCTAGAAGATCAAAGGTGTTAGAACAAAGAAAAGCTAACGAGTTAAGCTGCCTCACATGAAGCAGGATGGGAGTTTAAAGTCTTAACTCGTGTTTTTGGGGTTTATTTCTCAGGTTTTTGTAGTTCTTGTTCTGATTCGGTGACGTTACAGAAAGTATTTACATCTTTGTTCTCTCTGCCCACATCGGTGCACAAAGAAGGAAGAGATGAGGCTGAAAGCCGCAGTCCTAAAAGGTAATATCAGGTGGAGGGAGAAGCGGTGAGCAGGGCTCGGAGACGGGTTGTTTTTTAAACGGTTAGGCGACGTCCAGGACGCCGGCGGCCACCAGCTGCCTGGAGAGCCAGTCCAGCCCCTCGTGGAGGCCCATCCCGCTGCGGGCGTCGCAGCCCTGGATGTGCCAGCTCCTCCCGCAGCACAGCTTGTGGAGGCTCAGCAGCTCCGTCATCTCCTCCACAGACACAATGCCGGGAACGTCCTGCAGAGAGAGAGAGAGACACACCGATCAGCAACTCGGAGCTCAAGACAACGGATCTACTTTATCAGCCAAGAAATAGACCCAACAGCTGAGATGACTGAGGACAACAAGGCTGAACAAATAAGGGGTTTGTCTCCGTCTACATTTACAGATTTCTTTTCAGTACCTGTTTGTTAGCAAAGATGAGCAACAAGGCGTCTCTGAGCTCTTTCTCCGTCAGTAGTTTGGCGAGCTCACTGTGAGCCTCCATCAGTCGGTCCCTGTGACAGCTGTCGATCACAAACACCACCGCTGCACACAAACAAGAGATGTAAAGATTTAACTTCAGCAGACACACAAGTCAGCTGTCACATTTTAACATGTGATGATGCACAAGAGTTAAGGAGAAAAGAAATTAAGTTCATGTTAAAGTTGATATAAATTATTTCCTGACATTTTTTGGTAGGCTACTACTGAAGTTTCTTGTTAAATTATAACTCAGCTACTAGATTACTGAGCCTATAAAAAGTATTCACAGCTATTTAATTGTCTCAACATTCAATCAAAAGTAGATTTAATGCAACACTTTTTTAAAGCTAATTATCTCAGTGAAGAGAAGGATGTCTTCAAAGTGACCGACTGTACCTTGGGTGTTCAGGTAATAGTGCTTCCAGAGAGGTCTCAGCTTATGTTTTCCACCCACGTCCCAGATGGTGAATTTCAAATTCTTATATTCAACTGTCTCCACATTGAAACCTTTGGAAAAAAAAAGAATAAAAACAGGCTTTATTTAGAAGAAGAAGAGCTTTCTCATTCTCGTGGATTCATTATAAACTATATTAAATGGATTTACCGATGGTCGGGATGGGCTGCATGAACTCGTCTCGTTTCAGCTTGAAGAGGATCGTGGTTTTTCCCGCTCCGTCCAGCCCGAGAGTCACGACGCGGATCTCCATCTTCGGACCGATGTGGACCCTGTTGTCCTGAAAAGCAGAGCACATGTTCCAGTGTTACATACTGGAACAAACTCTTGGGGAGCGCGCTACACGAGTGGACGACTGGTGTGTACTTTAGTGAAGGTGACGGGGATGCCGGCGTCCAGCTGAATGTGATCCGCCAGCTCCATGAACTGGTGCTGCTGCTTCTGAAGCGTCTCCAGCAAACAGTTGATCTCCTGCTTCGCCAGCACGACTCTGCAGTCGTCCTACAATCGGACAGAAGCGGCACGCACACACACGCACACGCACACACACGCGCACACACACACACACCATCGTATCACACGTGCATCAGCCCCGATACTGGAAACCAGTTCAGTGTTCCAGTGTCCTACCTGTTGCAGTGTTTTCTCGCAGTGCATGCAGGCGGTGGAGACCTGCGACAGCAGGATGGTCATGTCCTCCTGCTGCTGCCTCAGCCAGATCAGCCGCTCCCTGACGTGAGCGTCCACCACGCTCAGCGCCATCTCCTCCTGCCGGCACAGAGTCTCGTGGAGGTCCGCGAAGTACGCCCGGACGCAGGACCGAGCGCTCTCTGCCGTGCCGGGGACCTGGAGAAGACATGGGGGGCAGGACGTCAACACCGGGGGGGGGAAGAAAAGGCGCTCTTTTTTTTTTTTTTTACATGAAAGTCCTGCGACCGCATCTCTTACGTGCTCGGTGTGCGCCATGCCGACACCGTCCTCCACTATCTGCTCCCCGCCTTCTATCTGCTGCACGATGCCCACCAGCTTCCTCGAGTACTCGGACACTTCGTCTGTGAAGGTGCGGATGCAGTGAGCCATGTCCAGAATGGACGCACGGATCTGATTCGCTTCAGACTCGAGAACAGCGTGCTGAAAAGAAAAAAGGACAACATGAGCTTGTCCTCTTTGGATTAAGGGTCTCCAACACGCGGACCGTAGCTCACCTTGTGTCCCTGGTGCTTGCCGTACTCCTTGCACACGCAGCACATGAGCGGCCCCGACTGACAGGCCTCCTCCAGGCAGACGAACTCGATGGCGTGGACCTGGTGCTGGTGGCACAGGGTCTTCTCGTGCGGCTTGTCGGCAAGCGGCACCCGGCGGTGTTTGGCCAGCGTGCGGGTGGAGTGGGTGAGCTGGGAGCACTCGGCACACAGGTGGGTGGCGCACACGGTGCAGTACATGGAGGCCGTGTGGCTCTCGTCCTCGTCACACCGGATTATACACTAGTTGGGGGGAAAAAGGGGGAGAATGGTGAGCGAGAGGTGCGAACGTAGACGTGTCCATCGGATAAATATCGGTTGGCTTACTTCTCCCATGCCTTTCAGGGCGTCCTCCGCCAGCCCCGACTGGTTGCTCGCTCCATTCTGGAGTCGCTCCAGGAGTTCAAGCAGAGCAAAGTTCTTCTTCAGACCCCAAACTCCAGAATCACCTACAAAAATGTGTCAAAAAAGAAGAAGATTAAAAAGGTGAAAACAGTTCCAACCTCAAAACAAAGAAAACACCAACTTAAATATGTTTTGTAGCAGTTATTTTGTCCAACCTACACGTAACTTTTGACAACTTTCCAGGGCTTTTTAATCAGTATGTTTGAATTCAAAGTGACAAAAAAGTCACAACATGTTGTGTTTAAGGTTCTCTGTTGGTTCTGGGATTTTTGTGCTGTGATGGTTTGACAAGTCAAGAGAAGACGCACTAGTTATCTGGAGTCCTGAAGCAGCAGAAACTGGTTCACATCATCCTTTTTAACTGGTAACGGATGTTTTCAGACTCACCCAGCTCGGTGACCTGTCTGTCGAAGGGGCAGCGGACCGCCCGGCCGTGGAGGGGCAGCCGGGTGAGGCAGTCGTGGCACACGGTGTGACCACAGAGGAGGAGACGAGGGACCTTGTCTCCCTGGAGAGAGAAGACGTCCTCACACACTCCACACTCCAGCACCTGTGGGTGAACACACACACACTTATTGATTTCCACACACATCTTTTGTCTGCGACAGTAACTGGTGCAGAGATAGAAGACATCTTAATTGGCTGGCATTGATTTATGGGAGTTAATTTAAAGGGATGCTCTTCAAGGAGAGTCAAGTAGTTTAAGAGTCACTTTGACTCATAGCATTTCAGATAATTAACCCTTCTGATTTACAGCTGGTGATGTTGACATCTGGTAAACATAATTCAGAGAGCAGATTCTGACGCGCACGCACGCGTCACTGCCACTCAGCGGAGCTGCAGTCGACCTAAATGGCAACCTAAAGCCAGCGACGCCAGCTAACTGTTAGCATACTGGAAGCACAATATTGGGTGTTTTTTGCACGAATATAATAAAAGCTAATCATTAAATAAATGAGTAATACGTATGCACGTAGCTCCTATAGAATCTAGCTGACTGTTTGGCATCCCCAGAGTGACGCCAACGCAGCAGCATTCACCCAAAATCAGAAGCCACGAAGAAGAGGCTGCTGTCGAGCCTTTCGTGCAAACAACAACAACGATAAATCACTGCAAACGTAACGCATATGTAGATTTTTTTTTTTGTGACAATATTAACGACCTTCACCGAGCCTCCGTGAGCTCCCCTCCCGTGTCGGATACAGGGCTCCATCGTCGCTAAGGCGCCCTGCTTGTTTATTCCTGCTGCGGCAGCGGCCATTCTTGGACGACAGCGTAGAGGGCTGAGCAGGTGCGAGAGGACAATCCCGCAAGTACTTCCGGTTTCGCTCGGTGAGCCATACGATGCCGTTCTTTCGTCTTTTGTGTTTTTCTTTACTTGTAAGAACACAATGTACTGATCCTTATTGTGTCATACATTTGATTGTATTGGTACGATGCCGATAATGTTACGTTCATATTGTACTAGATTTATTTATTTATTTTTTAGATAAAGTATTTTATATATTTTGGAAATTCAAAAACAACATTTTACTAAATATGAAGGTTTAAAGAAAAATCGTTTTAATTTTTAATGTAAACGTGTTTAGTTATTCACGTAAAGATATCAACTTTAATTTAGGATTTAATAAAGTTATTGTACTAGAAACTTTGCTATCCCATCTACATCCTGCTTTGAAGCGCATGCGCAGTGCCACAAAGTCAATCTTTGACTATTTAGCTGACTCATATCGAAATACTTTCCCCAACACTGATGAAAAGACATCGTAATTTGGTTATATTCGGTTAAATACTCCGTAAAAAAATAAATATTGTGCTGACTACAAGTACCAAAGGACAACACGGTTTGTCTAATGTTGATGACGTAATTACAGCGCGCCTCGCCTTGGCACCAGCAAGCAAGAAGGAACTGTTGTGGCGAATGAGACTCTTTAACGTTGACCCGTCAGCGCTCATTTAACGGTAGGTGTTTTATATTTTAACTAAAATAGTTGTTGAGCTTGTTTTTATTACATATTAATTCACCTTATTTATTGTTATTTATTCCTCCCATCCACGTCCAATCCAAGTACCCGCCCACTGATGTCTCAACAACCGCAGCAGACGTTGCCCTCCGCCCCAGACTCTCCCGCGCTGGTGGTCACCAGTAACGTGCAGAAATATGCCGTCAAGAAGAAGAAAGTCCTCAGTGCTGAAGAAGCTGAGCTGTTTGAGCTAACTCAGGCTGCAGGCATCACTGTGGACCAGGAGGTCTTCAAGTAAGAGTCGTATAATTTGCAGGAAAACGTGGATACGGAGCAATGGATCCTGGTTTTTACTTTCTTGTCCGCCTCTTCTTTCCCTCATCAGGATCATAGTGGACCTGTTAAAGATGAACGTGGCTCCTCAGGCGGTCTTCCAGACTCTGAAGGCGATGTGTGCGGGTCAGAGGGTCGCCGAAGGCTGCGGTGTTGGGGAGTCTTCAACCGTCTCCCACGCCGCCGTCGGCACCACCACAGCACCTACAGAGGCCAGAGGTCAGTGTCTGCAGAGGGATCAGAGAGAGTATTCAGGGTCCAGGGTCAAGAAAAACTAGCACGGCAGACAGGGAGGTCCGCACACAGCAAAGCACAGGCGTGCGTCACTGATACCACTAAAGTAGGTTACGTTAAAGTACAAAATGCAGTGTTTGTGGTTGAAGCTAAGGACCAATCAGCTCTTTGATCAGGCGTTTCCCATCATGCCTTTGGTCTTGCAGTCGGCGGAGAGCAGCTGAGTTAGACGTCTCTTTCCCAATGTAAGTCTATGGGAAGAAGTCTTTTTTTGGGGCTCAATGGCATCACATGATGGACCTGGAAGTTGGGGGCTTGGTCCGGATCAAGTCGGACACAAATCTACCCAGCATGCATTGTGCGGTGACTTGCAGTGATCAGTTCTGTGCAGGCCTGACTCATCTTGAACGAGTCTACTGTGTATAGAGTTAGTATGTAGTATGAAACATGCACACTACTTTCTAACAATCCCACAATGCATTGTGTTGGAATTTATAGATGTGAACATTTTGAGACTTACACGTATCAATTAAGGCACAAAATGATGATTCATAATCATGTCAGAGGGTTGGTTGTATAGGGAGATGTCGGTACCAACGATTTCAATAAACCACTGCAGAGCCCTCCTGTACTGGGCTGTGTACGTTCCACGCCATTTCATACTGTTTCCATTCAGGAAGCTTTCTGTTGCTCCTCTGTAAGAGTTAACAATAGCTTAGGGAACACTGGAATTTGGCCTTCAAAGGTTTCCTTAAGAAATGCATCTGTTTATAAGCTCTTTTTTCACCAGGGTGGATTTGTGTCCGTTGAATTCACAGCCAAAGCGTCACAGGAATGGAAATATTACATTGCATTTCTCTGCAACATCAAGGGGAAATGTCTGCAGTGAAAAGTGTTGCTGGTCGTATACTTATTGGGAATATACTACGTTTGATTTGTAATATTTCCTTTTATTTGGCTAAATTAAGCGTCCTGCAAATCTCCCTTTACTTCCCTGTTGCTTCTCTCAAAAGTTAGAATCAGTGAGAAAATAAATAACACAAACTGCGACGAATGGAAACATCTCTGCTTCCTGACACCACGGTATTCGGTGCTGGAGAGAGTCTGTGTCTGCGCATCACTTTCCTACCGAGTGAAAAGAGCTCAAGGTCTGAAAGGTTCAGGCTCGCAGCTTTTCACAACAAAGTGTTACGACGACTTCAAGAGGTTTTTAGAATCTTTTCTTTTCACCTTTACCTTTCAGTTTGCTCTCGCTATTCTTCCTCTGCTCTTTGCTTCTCACTTCCCTTCTCGAGCATGTGAAATATTCACATTCCTTCACTTAAGTACTGAACACACTGTAGTCCTAATTCCCCCCCATCTTCACTCCACCCCAAAGTGAGGTTTTCCACCTTGATGGAGGTGAACTGCAGATGGAGGATAAAGATGTAGATGGTCATGTGTGCTTGCTTTCTAATTTCCTTTTCTATCCCCCGTTGAATTCTGCTTCCTGTTTACTGAAGAAGAGGACTCTTTGGTTTCTGGAAAGAGCCCTAAGCCTTCTACAGCCGCCCCCTCAGCGTCTGGCTCCAGGGCCACAAGAGTCAACACTAAGATTGTGGTCTACGGCCCCCAAGACGCTAGCTCTCCTCACTCTCAAGGTCCCCCACCTGCTGCACCTTGTCCTCCACCTCCATCTGTCTTTATATATCTAGAGGGTTGCATAAATGCATAAACCTCGCTGCATGGACCGGGATCGTGCCATAAAAACGTCTGTCTGTCTGTCTGTCTGTCTGTCTGTCTGTCTGTCTGTCTGTCTGTCTGTCGTCTGTCGTCCGTCCGTTGCAGTGTTGATGTGCAGTTCGGAGTTGGAACAGTTTCCTTTTTTGTCTGTATGTGAAATGCATTACTTAATTTCCATTGTCCACGTTGTGAACCAACGATCACAGTAATTCAGAGCTCCTCTGCTTTCCTTAACCTCGTCTTGTTTCCTTTGCTTTCCTTAACCTGGTCTTGTTTCCTCTGCTTTCCTTAACCTCGTCTTGTTTCCTCTCTTAGTGTCAGCAGTGCGCAGTAAAGCCGGAGCAAGCCACAGCGAGAAGAGCAGAGAGGCTTCCAGCCAGCGAGTGCAGCGGCAGCCGAGCGCCACCAGAGGGCAGAAGACCAAGAGCTCCGGCAGCAGCAGCTCCTCCTCGCAGATAAACTCCACGTGAGGTCAACACCAGACCTCCTGTACATACTTACAACATTTAAGTTTCTCTAGTTTCACTGTGGGCCGTGTTTTGAAGGGTTGGTTCACCGGTTTTATTAGCGCTGCTTACAGCTCAACATTTCAACATATCGACAGTCTCTCCAGGAACAAGGTTCAGATAACGCTGACTCAGGGGTCTTTAAACACTTGTTTACATTTTGGCTAACTGGCCCCATTAAAAGTGTGCCCTGTTAGCTGTTAGCGGTTGCAGTGTAGCTTTCTATGTACAGACAACATTCACTGGATTACTTTAACACTGAGGGGAACTTATAAACATGATGATTCTCAAGTTCAGGCGTAATGAGGAGCATCTTTTTAGAGATTCATCAGCGGTAACGACATCCTCGGAGTGAGTCCTCTAGAAACACGTCTGTGTGGTGAGATATCAGAGCTAAGGGTTCTAAAGTAGCTTCATTACCTTTCACCTCCTGGTTCATAGAGTGCTGCAGGAATGAGGCCTGAAACCCGGTTCCCTCGTCTCGAAGTCGATGCGTTTATTGAATGTGTTTTTGGTTTGATGTCTGTGGTTAAACTTCAGCTGAAGAGATTTTAAAGTTTAGATCTACGACATTAAATACACCCGTAGATATACCTCTGAATCTTTTACGTGTCTTAAAAAAGCCTTTATCTTGATGGTGGAGACGTGAAGTCATGCGACTTTGTTGTGTTTACGTTATAGCCTAACGTTAGCTTAAGATCCAAAATCAAATGGAACAATCCCGTTAGCTTTTTGTTGAGGTAATCAATGTGACGCCAACTCCCTGTTTGACTACAAACATACGTCCTCACTGCAGCACTCTAGTTTTTAAAGGAACTATTTTGGTTCAACAAACTGTTCCAATGGAAACTCAGTGAGGTCTGTGATGAGAGGCTACCTGCATGACTAGATAGAGACAACTGATGTTAACTTAGAAGATGATTCATTTGTTTATTTGGTGAACCAATCCTTTGAAGTTCTAACGTGACGTAAGAAACTCCGTCTGCTCAGATGAAAAGCAGACAGACAAGAACAAAACGTATTCTGACATATTTAGATTTTCTACTGCAAATGTCTGTATTCAATGTGCAACTTTTTTATATAACTATTCATCTCAAATAAATCCAATAACAACAACATACCTCCCTGATTTCATCTTTTTATTGCAAATTGTTTTGTTCGGGAAGCAACAATGTGATTCCTCACTCTGCGTTTTTAGATTTAAAGATCTCCACACATATAAAACATTAAATACTCTTTAAACATCCGCATCTCATTTAAAACCCAGTTATCTCCGAACATGCAACAGATTCTAGAAGCTTTTAACGCCTTTGCATCCCTGACACTTGTATTGTCATAACTGTCTCCACTTCCTGTTGTTTCATGACTTGCACAGAGCGTCGCACTCAGCTACTCACCACGACAACAAAGGGCCTAAAGAAAGCTTTGCTTCTGCAACAATCTACCAGCACAGGTCCGAGTAGTCGCGGTCTGTCTTTCTTCTTCTTCTTCTGTGCGCTGAATGAACAGCTGTTGTGTCTTTACTTCTCGTTGAATGGTTGGAAACACAGCGGGCGCCTCGAGGAATGCAGGTTACTGTGTGATGGAGATGAAAACGAGCGCTCGCTGCTATCGATCTGACTCCACCTGTGATGGTCTAATTGATTTGTGTTCTCTTCTGCCCCGTTGGCTATAAAAGGATCATTTAAAAATGTTTTTTCAAGTGTGGAATTTGATGCTGCTGCCTGAGTGGTTTACCAGCCATCACATGGGGGCAGCAGACGCACACTGCAATTAATATCACCACCCAGTTGAGCCCGATTCTCTCTTTCCTGCTGCTATCATGAATGAGAAGTGAATGTTGGAAACAAAGCGTCTCATTCACAACCAGACTGATGGTCCACCTCTCAGGTGAGGCCGTGTGTTCAGCGGTCTGCAGGGCCTTTCTGTAGCCGCAGGGCCTATATATATAATTTATATTTCCTATTCTTTATGTGGCCGTTTGTCCTGTTTATGAGCCGTTGCCTCTCTGCTCTGCGCTCTGCGCTGATGGCAGCGGGCCTGTAATTGATGGCACCTTATTGCTGTGGTGTAGCAGGTTTAATGGGGCTTGACAGAGCAAGAGAAAGCAGCATGCGACCGGGGAGGGAACTTAACCCTTTTTTCGCTCACACACGAACACCCCGCCCTGCTCGCCTGTTTGCCCCCCCCCCATACTGCACATCAACGCGAGCGAACACAAACGAGAATACAAACAGGGGCCCTCGGTGATTAGCTCGATTCCTCCTGTTATCAGTGGTCACGGTTAATGGAGGTGTGTGTGTGTGTGTGTGTGTGTGTGTGGGGTTCAAGCAGGCCCAGACTCCCCTCTGACTCCACTTCCGTGAAATAAATAAACACTCGCCAGCTGTTGGGTGCTCGCCCCCGTTTTGCTCGGAGGAAACTAAATGTGTTTGACAAAGGTAAACGGCCGGGAATTTATCTCCACACACTGGCTCCCAGGCTGCAGTTCCTCATGTGACCTATAGGGGTCAGTGTGGGTCCAAGCTACCGACCTGCCCCCCCCCCCCCCCCCCCCTACCTTGGATTTCCATAGGCATCCACTCCAGCATTTTTTGGATGTGTTTATTTTGTTATGAGGGAATTTCATGGCTAGCGCAGGCTCCTCCATTAAATAGGGAGTGTTATCCTTCACTCAGGCGCTCCACACACACACACACACACACACACACACTCGTGTGAATGAACGCTGTGTGTGTGTGCACACACACTATATGCACCATTAATCAATAGAGACGATGAAATGATGCTATTGTGCGCGAGGCAGGGCGAGCGGCGCGTTGAATAATGAGCTAGTCAAAGCTGTTGGCAAATCATTAATGTAAGGTGTTGGTCTAAACCAAGTTCTCACACTCGCGCCGTGCGAGCTGTTCCCAGGTGACAAAAAACTGGGGAGAGACACTATTTTAGGAGCCGGTATCACACCTCTCTTTCTTTTCTCTCTTTCTATATATTCCCTACAGAATCTCTTTCTCTGTGAGAGCTCTCGGGCTGGGGTGTGGAGGAATATCATCCTGTTTCTCTCCTCCCTTCTCTCGGGTATTATCCTCTCCTCTGAACTCTTGGTCCACATTTCTCTCTATAAATTTATAGGCCACTTTCCCTCCCTTGTTGTCTCCCTACATTCACTCCCTCCTCTAACCCCTTCACTCTCCATCATCACACCGCCCTCCTCCTCCTCCTCCGCCGCCTCCTCCTCCTCCATCACCCTCCTTGCCAGGCTTGCTGCAGATTGGCTATTTCCTGCACGCGCCCAGTAGAGCCCTTATCAGAGGTAAAGTGCTGATTGTTGGTCTGTCTCTCAGGCTGACTGACAGCTGGGGCCGCGCTGCTGAAATGCCTGATTTGGTCAATGTTTGTCTGTGGGTCCTTATCTCCACACCTTATATTAACTGCCTTGACAGTTTGTGCAGGCAGTCTCTCTCCATCTTGTTTCTCCCCCACACCTCCACCTCCCTCCGTCCTCTGTCTCTGTCTCCATTCACTCCTCTATACTCTCTGCTATAGTCTTCCAACCAGCAGCTAAACACTCTCCTCCTCCTCCATCATCATTCTTCCTCTTGTAGTCGGATCAGCAGCTTAAGCACCGTAAACGTCGCTTTAGTTCCTGTTTATTTCTTTTTCTTTACTGTTCGTGGCCGTGCAGATATTTTTTGGTTTTTGAAATATCCATCTCTGCCATTCCTGAATTAAATTGCATTTTTGTTCGTCACAGCGTCTGAAGAACGTATGAATAATAGTAATAAGTATTATTGGTGTGTTTGATTATCCAGAGTAACGGGGATGTTGCTGTTTCATTTTTCAAAATGTGGCTTTTGAAAGCGAGGCCAACATTTATAAACACTAAGGTCATGAGTGAAAATCCCCTCAAAGAAAGTCACTAAAATATTTTAATTATTGAAATTTTCACATTTCATTCAGTCAGCGAGGTGTTCATAATGTTTTCTGCAGGTTTTATTGAAATAGAGATGAAATAATCAGCTGCTTCTAAACTAACTGACTGAAATAACAAACAGCGTTGTCTCTGTACTCCCTGTGATGAGTGTGATTACTGAGTTACAGATTCAATCTTACTAACTTTACCAGGACATGATCAGGAATGTATATATTGTATGATGAGAGAAGATAGAACAGCATGTTAAAGCATCATTGTTTTATTCCTCAACATACATATAAAGATGATGTCAAAGGAAGAAATATTCTGAATTTATTCAAATCTGCATACTTTGCTTCTTTTGCTGTCCTAAAGTTGTATAAATTATGACATATTGAGTCTAAAAATACTTGAATCTGCTTGAAAAATGTCTAATTCCAGAGAGAAGTTAGAGGAGCTGCCCTCGGTGTCTCCACCACACACACACACACACTCTCACCTCTATTGTTTTGGGGTGAGGGGAAGAATCTCAGTGACGGAGCAAACATTGATACCGCTGCAGATAAGTGACACGTTTTATTGTGTGAGATTTAACTGAGAAATGTTCTTTGTAAATGAATTGAATAGCTGTTACAAAGAATGCTGCACACAATATACTGTACGTTGTAAAAAAAGCCTCAGAAATCATGACGTATGAAACACAAGTACGTTAAATGATCTCTAAACACCTGCGCTGATTGACAGACGCCTGATAAGATATTTGAAGCACACTTCTAACTACAACTTAAAAAACTTGAAGATGAGTCTAATAATAACCTCTATTTGTCTTCTTGTCAATAAATCCATAGAGCTTCATTAACACACATCACTCTGTCATTGATTGACATGTTTCTTCATCTCTGTATTTATTTTTACTCAATCCCACATTCACCGTCCTGCTGCCACCAACACTCACGAGAAGCACCGTCCATCCCAGTGGCTGCACTTCCAAAGTCTTTAAATGTTTTGTTTTTTCAGTCCAGAACCAGAAGATAATCCATTCTTTATGATTTAATACAGAGAAAAGCTGGAAATATTCATATTTTAGAGGCTGAAGGCAGCATTTCTACCATTTTTTGCATGAAAATAACTTGAATAAGGAATCGCATATCAATAAAATCTGTTAATAAGTGCACAATAAAGGATTATTTAACCCTTATGTTCTCGCTTTAGATCCAGTAAACAGCTTAGTAAACTGTTAATACTTGCACGGTTAACTGCTAATAAATGATGTATTCATATTAGTAAAGCAACAAAAATAATTTAGTAAAGGCTGAACAATGTTGTTAAACTCAATGAATGTGTTTTTATGCTAATTTAAGAAACATATCAGGCTTTTAATAAAGTACTACAAACTGTTAACAAGTTTCAAGAAGATGGTTATAAATGTCTTATAATCTAGCAGTAAATGTGTTCATAATGCTATTATAAACACTTATAAAGTGTTATTATCACATTATAATGTTAATTAGCATCTTAAGTACTTGGAAGGGCTTTATTACCTGTTAACTAACGCTTATTACAAGGACCTTTAATATAAAGCTTTATCAATAGGTGCTGATTATTTTTCTCTTGATCAATAATCGATTAATTGATTGAATTATTATTATTTAGCCTTTTTAATGAAGTAAAGTTATAGTTTTAAGACCTTTTTAATGATTTACATTTTCAGTAGGAACCTGTAGAACTGGAACTGTGCATGATCTCTTTAAAATAAAATAAAATAAAGTAAAATATATATATTAATGAACCAATGAGCCTGGAGCTGAGAGCCACAGACAGGAAGTCAGAAATATTGAGAGACGTTCTTTTCAGGGACTTGTTGACAATAACACAGAATAGTGTCCGTCCTCGACCTTTAACATTGAGTTGAGTTCACAATGAGCTAGCAATACCTCGAAGTGACTGTAATTACCAAGGTAAATAAACAGTACTGACAACAGTTAATCCACACACACACACACATAGAGAATCTGAAGCTCTAATCGACAGAGACCGAAGAAGTAAACACGGCCTCTTAAGCGTTATTTATTTATTCACTTTATTAGCAAGAGGCTGTTCATTCCGTCTGTTAATGGCAGCTGTGGGAACGAATAGAGTTCACATTCACTTGGACCCCTATAGTGTGGCAGCCTGTCAGGTTGCCCACACACACACACACA